TTTCAACTCTTAATTTTAGATTTATTATTTTTCTAAAAAAAATTGTAATAAAAAAACTTGAACACAAGAAAAAGATTAGTTACAATAACAGGGTTTGCGGGGAGCAGATAAAACCTATTCTTACATGGTTGGTTTGTAATAAAATCAAATATATGTATATTTGTAATTCACTTTAATTAGTTATATAATTTTAAAGGAAAAAAATCATTTACTCTCATATTTATAAATGAAGTTATTTACATATTTATTTGATTTTACCATATATATATATATATATATATATATAACTGTTACATACAAAATATTGTTTTAGAAGTATTATGATCATTTTAACAGTTTTGTTCAATTTTGTTCTAGTTATACCAAACGTATGACAAACAATTAGTCATGTCACGTCTTGTTCAGTCCCGTTCCATCCAGTCTGTATAACTAACGCTACCTAAAGGTCACTAATTTATTACAAATTTAGAATCACTTCACAAAATAAATACATCCATGATTTTTTTAAACTTAATTGACATTAAAAGATAATCAATGTCACATTAGTAAATAATACGTTAGTCAATATTTAGGAATGAACCGATAAAATAATTACCTGAATGTTTGAATTTTTTAAGACCAGATAAAACTTTTATAAAAATATATCTATACTATATTATAAAGCATTTAACAAAAACTCTTAAAAACCATTTTTTATGCATGAAGTACTGTTTATTGTTACATATTACTTAAAATTCAAGATTACAAGTGATTTCGTGTAAATACAATTTATTAAAGTTTCATTTTTAAATTCGTGTAAATATATATAAATAAACATAATCAAATACATGATAAACATCTACTTTAAATATAGAAAATCTAAAATATAATTAAGATAATCATTGAATTTCTAGCCGAATGTTTAATTATTATCTTTAATAAAAATTATATTATTAAACCAAAAATAAATTACTTTATTATTAGAACTAAATTAAATTATAATAAAAAATTGAATTAAAGAAGTTACACCAAAAAAACGAAAACTAATAAATAGTTATTTAATACTGATATCGATTTTATTTTTTAAATTTTTTTATGCTATCATCAAATTTATATTTTATTCAAAAATAAAAACATTAATGATTTCTCAAAACCACGTAAAATCGTATATATATATATATATATATATATATCGACAGAGACAAATAATAAAAACTAAACATTAAAATAGAGATTTATCTCGTTACATTATACGGTTAGCCTTTTAATCATTTAAAATAAAGATAGCAACAAAATGACATTTCATTTTCAAACAATTTACTTGAATAGAAAAATTTCGTACAATTTATTTCATATTCAAACCGACACGTATATAATTATAAAATAATTAAAATATTAAAAGCGGGCCCACAGTTCACCTAGTCTGGTTTCCGCGAAGGATTAGGATGAATCAAGTGGGTATTTTTTTATTTTTATTAATTAATGAAATTTATAATAATAATAATAATAATAATAATAATAATAATAATAATAATAATAATAATAATAATAATAAATGCATGTTAAATTAATGTTCGAATATGTTGTGTATATCCGAATTAGTCAATCATCTTCTCCTATGGGCCATTCTGACGTGGATCTAAGCTGTTGATCATACTCACCCTCTATCTCACCTTCACATAAATATTAAAAACATGTTGCAAGTGATTATCATATGTTTCTCGAGTAAGTGTTTATCAAGTCATGTTACTTTACCAGATAAATATGATAAAGACCAAGAATCATACCCGGAAAGAGCGAGACAAAGACCAAGAGTCTTACTCAGTAAGTGAGGGCGACGACTCTTACCATGGTAAACACTTACCGAGTAAATTGTTGCATGCAATATCGTTTTAGTGAACTAAAATCTTACCTAGTAAGTAAATAATAGTGTTAAATTTTATTGATAAGCACTTACCGAATAAGTATTTGGTAAACAGCCCCTAAGTATATTTTAACATTTCTAAATTCTTAAATCATAATTATAACTTTGATAATATAATTTTACAATTATATTTAATTTATACATTAAAAATAAGATGACAAGATGAAAATTGTCAAATTTACGAGAAATATAGAGACGATCAAGTCATATGTGACTTACAACATGTCCAAAAAGACACATCTAACCGGTCAACATGAGTCGGGTCTCGTGAATTAAAAAAATATAATTTGTTGTTTTTTAAAAAATGAAAATTTGAGTTTCCATGTTGAATTAGTCCCCTTGAATTAAAATATGCTTTGCTATTGGCCTATTGTAAAAATATGCTTAGTTATTTTTTTTTTCCAATCGATGCATTTATATCTATTGTTCATTGTTTTCTCCTTTTTTTTAGATTCAGATATGATATTTGAATGTTGGATTAGGAATTTTGTGAAACTTGTAGTTGTTTACAATTGATTTGTGTAAGTTGATATAGGTTTTTTGAACTGAGAATGAATATATCAAGGTTTGATTTTTTTTTTTAATTCTATATGATACTTTCTTTTGAAGTATATAATATATAAATACAACAAATAGAACAAATAAACTTACACACCGTTCTCAACTTTGGTGATGTTTGAACCTCTGATCTCCTAGTAGGCCAAAGCTCGCATATCGTTAGGCCAAAGACTCTTTGGTTTCTATATGATACTTGATAAGAACTAAATAGAAGCTTGATAGATGTTCAACATGCTCCGTAAGTGCAAAAGCGATAAAATGAGAATTGGGACGTTAAACGTTTCATGAAAATAATTTAGGTTGTCTGTTTGGTACGTGAGGTTGGACAAGATTGGACAAAACAAAACTAATGTCCTACGTTTGGTGGGGCATGCGACAAGGATTGGAACAAGGACTAGTAGGACTGGATACTAAAATAGGTGGAACAAGATAAGACAAGAATAAGACAAAAGTAAAGAAGTATCAGTTTACCTTCATTTGATATAAACTTAATATGTTATTTGGTTTAATGGTCACCACCGTCCACTACCATCACCACCACCATTACCCCCACCAGTAATCAAGATGTTTCTGATTCATAAAAAGTTCAGTTACATGCTTGAAATTCTATTGTCAAATGGGACAATCATATCATTGAAGATACCAAAGGGATAGAGTTAATTGTTGTTTGAGGGTCAACTTCCAAAGTTAGGAACTAGCATCATGATAAGGTCATGAAGGTGAAAATCATTTCTTACTAGGGATATAGTTCATTACAATTAAGGTTTTGTAATACCAGATATTTGGTGTTCATTTTTCCTAATGGATCAACAGTTCTCCGTCTGCATCACTTACAAAGGTAGTAATATGATGAACAATTTTTTTTTATAACCTGAATATCCAACCCATTATGCAAGTTGACTAATTTCAAGGCAACCACCTGCTTTGCATTTGAACCTCCATGGCCACAAGAGAATTTTTATTCCTCCTCGGACTCGAACATGGGATCTCCAGACACTTTTGATCTTTGAAGCCCAAGCTCAAACCAATCATACATCACCCTTATGGTTATGATGCAAAATTAAGAACAAGATTCTAGAAAAAGAGAGTTAAACAATGGGCCAACATTCTTTCTAACTATAATCGCACATAAATGAATCCATTTTTTTCAAAAAAATCTTCCATAAATACTTGAATGTGTAGATCTCTTTTGATATGAACATTTCCAAATCGTTGTCCATCTACTATATAAGAAACCTCCATTTCGAGATCATACTTCAACTTATCAACCTCAAACTTTTCATAAAATATATCGGTTGTAAGTTTGTTACATCAATCCGTCTCTCTCGATCGAGATTGATAAACTTTTGATATAATGGAAGAGAAAATAATAACGGAGCATATTTTTCATTCGAGGGGACCAATTAAGCATAAAAACTCATATTTCCCTCTTATTGTGAAATAAAATGGAAAATTTCATGTGACATCATCCAATTAAAATTAAAATATCATAGTTTTTGTGGAAAGAGAATGACGTACCACTCAACTTCTCTCCGATTTTATTATACCCTATTTAAAAAATGTTAAAAAAAACCTTAAATACGATGATGACAAAAGCAATTAGATGCGAATAAAAAATCGTTTAATTCCAATAATTTATAATCATAACAAATGGACAAGTAGATAGCGATCAATTAAACAAGTCGATGGAACAAACTGAGAACCTTACATCATGCACTCAAGTCTTTGACAATGAGAACGAAGTCTAAAATTATATATCACGCACTCAAGTCTTTGGCAACGCGAACGAAGTTTAGAATTAGGTTTAATGTGGGTTGCTCTTTGAGTCTGAAAATGAAGAGTGGCCGGAATAAATGTGAAGCAAGAACAAAAAAGGTTGAAGGAGAGACTTAGAGTACCCTGTCGGGTAATCAGGTTGCGTCCAAACCATTTCTTGGCGTTGTCTTTACCCGCCAATGTCGACTTTTACTCTGTTATCAATACGCTCCTCACTGAAATTGCAACATACATACACGGTCTTAATTAGAGTGTATAATGCATGGGCCTTGTGTTTCCAGTGGAACTCTCCACTGGTCTAATGTATCGTTTACCTCCATCTCGACTATGCTACTAGCACATTGTCGTTTGTGAATAATTACATGTATCACGACACACTGTCTTGGATCCCTCGAGAAAATCTCATCAATAATTACAAGAAATCGAAATGAGCATATCGTCGATCCTTGGTGTATCCCTATTTCTTATATACGACTTTACTGAAATAGCTGCCTTCTTTGATGCTACACAATGCGATCCATCATTTTTTGGATTTACAGCTGTAATTTTGTTGTTTAGTCAAATATCAAAAATATCCAAAGCAACACAAGCCAAGTAGGCAAAAACAAAAGGTAAAAAGAACATCAAAGTGACGTAAGGAGCATTTAATTGGTCCATGTCACACGGATGGGGCCCACTCACCCACCCAAACTTTACTATAAAAGCCACGAGATCTCCTTGTAAGAGTATTAAGCAAAACATGGTTCAACCCTTAGAACTTAGACGCACAAAAATGGCCGGAGCAAGCCCCGGTGCTCAAGTAGCCAGCCGGAACTCCGATGATAACAAGAAAGGATCCGGCAAATTCGAGAGCACGACAGAAATGATCTTCGAGTTCCTCGAAGAGAGCGAACTCTCATCAGGAAGTTCATGCAATTCCGGCAACAGCTACGACAGCGGCGAGCTGGAAGAAGAAGAAGAAAATTCCTGCGATTCGGAGGAGAACAGATCATTCTGGGAAGCTCAAGAACAACTTCTCACGGTAGATATTTACTCTAATTTTGCAAAATGTTGCCGGAAATTTGATCGAAAGATGCTAATTTACCAAGGGGTCATAATGGTTGAATATTTTTGCAGGATCATCTTTTTAGGACTAGTTCAATCGAATCAAATATTAGAAAGGCAACTAAAGAGATCATAAAAGAGCTGAAATCGGCAGCCGTTGGTTGCTGTGATTGTGGCAAGACGGTGGCTGATGGTTGCCGGAGGTGTTTCCAGAGGGAAGTCTCCGATCGATTACGAAAATTGGGTTACAACTCTGCCATCTGCAAGGCCAAGTGGATGAACCTAAAAGAAGTCCCAGCAGGTACACCATTTCTACAACAAAATCTGGTAAATAAAATATTAGAAATGTTTGTTGTTGTTTACCTCTTAATAGTTCTATTAAGAGTCAACATTTGAATTATTAAGAAGTAAATCTTGTTTGGCAAAAAAAAGTCTGTCTCTTAATGATTCTAAAACCCTCTGAATGATTTTGTATCATAGATCTCTCCTAACCATTAAGAGCCCTAATTCCATTGTACACAATTACCAAACAATTATCTTTCATGTTGCACTATATCATGAGAGCCTCTTAATCATTCTGCACCAAACCATTCTACAATTGTCAAACTTAAAAATGTGCGTTAATAAACCAAACCATTCTACAATTGTCAAACTTAAAAATGTGCGTTAATAAGTTTTTAATCACACTTTTATCTGTAGTTTCTGATTTCGTTTAATTTAAAGAAATCTTTTTTTCTTGTTTTATAGGGGAACACACATATATAGAAGTATTGGACACTTCAAATTCTAAAAAGGGGGTTATACGAGTGATTGTCGAGCTAAATTTTCGAGCCGAATTCGAGATGGTCAAGGCTAGCCAAGAATACATCCGTCTGATTAGCCGGCTACCTGAAATATACGTCGGAAAAACAGAAAGACTCGAGTTGTTGATCAAGACACTGTGTTCAGCGTCGAAAAAATGCATGAAGGATAGGAAAATGCACATTGCTCCATGGCGGAAGCTGAAATACATGCAAGCGAAATGGCACGGGGTACGTGAATCAGAATCACTGTTATCGCCCGAAATTTTGTCGGCTGTTGAGCACTCAAGCCGTTTATCGAGGCCGATGATTTCGTTGCTTACGTTCGATTTGGTTGACAACTTGTCTTCTAGTCTACATACCATGGCGATTAAAGTTTTGTAACCAAAATATCGAAATCTGCCAGAAGATAATTTAAAGATTTTGAATTATAATATATATATATATATATATATATATATAGAGAGAGAGAGAGAGAGAGAGAGAGAGAGAGGTATTGTATGTATATATTTTTAGGAAAGGTTTTGGTTGGTGAGAAAAATGATTGTGGTTGAGTTATGTGGTGCTTGTTTTGGAGTTATTGAGAATAGACGACGTGTTGGGACATATACTTTGAATTGTTTTCTAAATACTTTGAACTAATATTTATATTGTTTTAAATTAATATAATATTTTTTTTACATTCATCTCCAAAAAATTGTAATATTAAATCTAAGAAGGAATAAGAATCCTCTTGTGGTTACGGAGGTTCAAATACGGTGACTCCGAGCTATCTACAAAGCAGATGATCATCCTGAGATTAGTCGACTCGCATAACGGATTAAATATCCAGGTTAATAAAAAAAATTGTAATATTTGACTCGTCATCTAATTGGACATGAGTTTTATGCTTCTTTTTAATACTAGTGTCCGGATATGCCAAACACTTATAATCGGACGGAATTATAATAAATATCGTATTTCTTTCAGAAACACACACAATCAGACAAAATTATAGTAAGTACTCTAATTTTTTCCAATAGGGATGAATCAGTTAATTTCAAAATATAATAAGTTACAGAAAAATATTATAAGTATTAAAAAAAAGATCGTTTATTGAACGCTTATTCGGATAAATATTTATCGAGTTATATTATCTTGTCGAATGAATATAATAAGGACCAAGAATTTTACACAGTTACTAAGAGCGAAGATAAGGACGAGAGTTTGCGCTGTAAGTGAGGGCAACGACTCTTACCACGGTTAGCGTTTACGGGTAAATTATTATATACGATACTGTTTTAATGGACTAAAATCATACCCGATAAGTGGGTGAAAGTATTGAATTTTACCAGTAAACGTTTGATTGGGTAAGTATTTGGTAAGCGCTATCCCTTAATATAGTATTTCCTTTTGTCTTGTACAATTTACAATATTTTAATTTTTTTGTATTAAAAAATATAACAATGATAATAAAATGATTTAAGAAAATGATTGAGGATATTTGTGTGTCTCTAGCTACATATAGTTGGTATGAGGAAGGTTCAAAATAGTGTGAGACATGACCTGGCGGCAAGATCAACCTTCAAGTATTACGAGTTACGGTGATGCCATAAATTTTTTCAAGGGAGACTTAAGGCGACAAATCTTTTTGTATAGTGTGTATATATATATAGACTTGGGATCACGTGATACCAACATGTTATCGTGAGGCCCGTGAGACGCGTGAAACCACTTTTTTACACTTGAAACTTCATAGCAGAACACTGTGAGTGTTTTTGTTGTGAAAGTTCGGATTTATTTTACCTTCACAATGTTTTGCTGTGAAGTTTCAAGTGTAAAGAAATGGTCTCACGGGTCCCACAAAAACAGGCTGTTCTCACGTAAACCCACCCCTATATATATATATATATATACACACACACACACACACTAGAAAGATACTCGCGCAATGCAGCGAGATAAATCTCGATTTTAATGTTTAGTTTTTATTTTTTGTCTCTATCGATATAATACAATATTATGTAGTTTTGAGAAAACGGTAATGTTTTTATTTTTGAATTAAAATATCAATTTGAAGATAACATAAAAATTTATAAAAAAAAATAAATCGATAATAGTATCAAATTAACTATTTAATAGTTCTTTTTTTTTATGTAACTTCTCTAATTAATTATCTATTATAATTTAATTTAGATTTAATAACAAAATAATTTATTTTTGGTTTAATAATACAATTTTTTATAAAAATAATAATTAAACATTCTGTTAGAACTTAATAATTATCTTAATTATATTTTAGATTTTTTATATTTAAAATGGATGTTTATCCGGTATTTGATTATGTTTATCAGCAGTTAGTTACACAACTTTAAAAATAGAGTTTTAATAAATTGTACTTATGCAAAATTACTTGTAATATTAAATTTTAAGTAATATTTATCAATAAACAGTATTTTATGCATAAAAAATAATTTTTAAGAGTTTTTATCAAATGCTTTATAATATAGTATATATTAATTTTGGTTTAATAATATAATTTTTTTATAAAAAAAAATAATTAAACATTCTATTAGAACTCAATAATTATTTTAATTATATTTTAGTTTTCTATCTTTAAAATGGATGTTTATCATGTATTTGATTATGTTTATCAACAATTGATAACACGAATTTAAAAGTAGAGCTTTAATAAGTTGTACTTACGCAAAATTACTTGTAGTCTTAAATTTTAAGTAATATGCATCAATAAACAATATTTCATGCATAAAAAAATGAGTTTTAAGAGTTTTTGTCAAATGTTTTATAATATAGTATATATAAGGGTACTCGCGCAATGCAACGAGATATATCTCGATTTTAATGTTTCATTTTATTCATTTTCTCTGTCGATGATATTAGAAAACAATAATAATTTTATTTTGAACGAAATATAAATTTGAAAAAGAAATGTATCGATATTAGTATTAAATTAACCATTTAAAAGTTATCGTTTTATGTGTAATTTCTTTAATTCAATTTTTATTATAACATAATTTAGATGTAATAATAAAGTAATTTATTTTTGTTTAATAATATAATTTTCATAAGAAATGATAATTAAGTATTATGTTAAAATTCAATGATTATCCTAATTATATTTTATTTTTTATATTTAGAATGTGATGTTTATCCTGTATTTGATTAAGTTTATGTATAGTTAGTTATACAAATTGAAAAATAAAGCTTTACTAAGTTGTACTTACGCACAATTTACTTGTAATATTGAATTTTAAGTAATATGCATCAATAAACAGTACTTTATGCATAATAAATTTGTTTTTAAGAGTTTTTGTCAAATGCTTTATAATATAGTATCAAAATATAGATGTCTATGTGAGCCTGTATTGAAAACAATACTGATTAAAAAAATTAAATTCATGTAAAACTATAAAAAAAAGAAAAAAAAACATGGATTCTTAATTTGATATCAACAATATAAAGTTTAAATGATATCAAGAGATCATGATAAAAAGAATGTTTATTAATGGTTTCATAATCCATATCTCTAATTAAAAATTCTAATATCATATTTAGAAAACATATTAGAGTGAATTAGATTAGATGCATCTTATAAAGAAACTATCATTCCATGTAATCTTCTTCGTTTATTTTCGTCATCGAAATTGAATTCAAAATCTTCCTCGTCTTCGACTTGTGGTTAGTGAATTCCCGCTTTCAATAAATAATTAGATTCATTAATATTTGGTTTAATAAGCCATAATTTATATATGGAAAAAAAACATGCATGCCTTATAACCCGCCGTAACGAGCCATAGCCGTCGTAACGCACCATAACAAGTCATACTGCAAGTCACGCCTCAGAGTCGCGCCACGGGCTTTAAAATGGTGTCGATTGGCGCGCTATAACGCCATCATAACATGTTTTGTAGAACCTTGGGTACGAGTATAGAAAAGGCTAATTTGGCATTTTTACATTTTATGTCCCTTAAGTTTTGATGATTTATAAATATTTTCCTAAAAAATTATTTATTAAAGATTTCAATTTAGTGTAAGACATCTTTTGGTTACATGTTGTAAAACTGATATCGACAAACAAAGAACATGTATAAAGAACCAAAAATGGTCTCATAATACATGCAAAGATAAAAAAAATTCGTCTTGTAACAAATGAAATCATGACTACTTCAAGATAGGTTCGTGTTATGAGAAATTGCTTCATATGGTATGCAAAATTGACAAAATTCGGTAATTATTATTCATTAATAAATACTTGTAGTTGCTTAAAATTTGAAGCAAAAACTATATTGTACGATGCTCTTCACGAAGAAGAGTATGAGACTATAAGTGTGTTTTTATATGTGAAACTGTCCGCAGAATATAGGAAGGTTTAAAGAACAAGCATATAGGCAATTCATTGTCATAGACTTAAAAGGTGTAGGATGTTTCATTGAAAGCGAAGAGTGTATCTCAAACACTCTTCATGTTTTACCCTAGAGTTTGGATTCCAAAAATCACATCTCTTGAAGACTCTCGTGACTCCAATGATGAGGATGAAAGCAATGAACACGTATTTGCCATGAAAAAGTTCAGATCACTCAATAATGCAAAGGTACGCATGTTAAACTCACTGACAATCACAAGTTCAAATATCGGTGAAGCTACGATCCATCAAAGAAACGATAAGACCATTGAACAACAAGAATGGTAGACTTAAGTACAAGATGTATGGATTCTTCTAGAATATACTTGGACCCTCTTGATCCTTGTTCGGCTCTTCTTGATACTTCTCTAGGCTTTCCTCAATTTCCGAAGAACCTTCTAGCAAGACATGACAATATGCTCCAATTGAACACCTAAATACAAGAGTGACGATAAAATGAAAACAACGATATGAATGAAGATTTTTTGTCACATGGATCTTGGAGATCAAGAGGTACTTTCCACATCTTCTTCTAATTAGGGGTGCTCAAAAACCCGACCAACCGAACCAAATGCAAAATAACTTCATCAAAAACAATTCAATGTCTAATCGAGTTGTAAAATCTTCAAACCGTAAGTATCAAGATGATATTGGGTTACTTTTATTTGAACCCAATCCAACTCGATGACCCTATATCCTTTTATTTTCTTGAATTTAATATGATTGTTGAGTCTCTATTAATATATACATAATTTTGCAGCATCATGTATGTTCTTCATATACATATATTTTAATCTATTCTCCATCTCTATATAAGTTCTTTATATATGTTCTGTAACTGTAAACATATATATGCAGATTGATAAACATTAATCGAATGTGATATATTTAAGATTTAGGAAATATGAATAAGTTGTACCAAATGGTTAATGATGAAAAATATATTATGAGTAGACTAGAGTAAACAACAATTCAAGTTTAGGA